CCAAACACCCAAAATGGTTGGGCTGAGGACCAATTTCTTAATATCCAGAAATAGGAAATGTTTTGGTAGGCTGACAGCAAGCCAAGATAATTTCCAAAACAAGTGATGCCAAAACAGTAATTGGATGGTAATAAAGCTAGGAAAGAGGGAGGAAATTAAAAATAAGTTCCAGCTAAAACATGAGCCTCAGTGCTATGCAGTTTCAGGGTCACTGTCCTAAAGCACAGCTAGACTCACTTCTTGTGCTCAAATTTCATCTTGCCTAGCTTTTAGAGGAGCAAAAAGGCAAGAGCTTGGCTGGTTTAGATCTATATGCAAGCTGTGAATTACATGATTCTGACAATAAGGCCTGGCACCGCAAACAGCCTTTGGAGACAGCAGTGCTGGCATGCTTCAAGCTACCCATGGGTTCATTAAGCTGCTGGCCAGGAAGATGCTGGATTCTCATCTCTAGTCTGAGTCTGGCAAAACCCCTCCACAACAGGTGTTTCCTTTAAGATTAGGAGGCAGGGTGTGTGAATAAACAGATGCTCTGAGCTCCTGCAAAAATTCCCCTGCCTGTGAAGAGGCAAGAAAGAAAACAGTTTGAAGATACTTCATTAGCTCTAAATATGTTTGTCTGACTTTAAAATAGTTCAGAAATAAAGGATGCTTACACACACTCACAGCTAAGCATTAGAAAGCACGATAGATGTATCCCAGCTAAAATTAAGGAATGTGATAACATTTAATAGCAATATATTACCTGTTAATTTAAATAACTTTTAAATATATATTTCATCTCTGAACCAATATTCTAAACCAAGAGGTTATTTTCAGTTGATAAAAAATAACAGCTTTCATTGAAACTAGTATCTTTTTCAGCAAATATTATCTGTATGACTTTTGTTCACGTAACTACAACCTTAGAAATGTTTGTTGTTGCTTTCTGGATTTCCAAATTCAGAAGAAAAATCTCTACAGGGAAACCTTGTCTCTTTCTCAGTTGCAGACCTATTTTGCCTCAACTTTTTTAAGCAAAAGGAAAATAAAAATGTAATACTGTACCCTGTACTGTTTTCAGAGTTGAAAAAGTGATGTAAATTACAGAGTAGATCAATGAAGAGGAACGAAAGAAAAAGGAAAAAATTGCTCATTTTCCCCTCCAAACAAGAAACAAAGGGAGGAATACAAAAGAAGTATAACATCCAAACGATGAACAAGAAATGAGAATTCTAAATCTATAATTAAAAGAGCAGACTTTGACCAAGAGAAATTTATGTTTTGAATATGATAGCAGTGAAACAACTTAAAAATATTCATTAAACTATCTCCTATATTTTGCAAGTTTAGTAGTCTTCAAAGCCAAAATAAGGACAAAGCTGTCATTCCTTTGGCAAGGCTCACCAGGACAAATTATGCTGCTGTAAGAATGGAAATGAAACAGCATAATTTGTCCTGAGGACACTACAAAGTGTTCTATTTTTGAAGGCTAAAGTTGTGAATTGAAATGTAGGCAAAACAATTTCTTTATTAAAGCACAATTTCATCAGCACAAGGCTCTGAGAACATCTGATTTCAAACTTAACATGTCCAGGAAGACACTTAATATCCTCAAAAAAACAATTCAGTTTAGCCTTAAAAAGAATGAATCTCTTGAGAAAGCAAGAAATGCTTTGAATACTTTTGCTGACATGCTGTGAAAATATCTAGGCAGAAGTATCTGTTCTGTTAGATAGATGGTGAAAAAGGTGATTCCTTCAGTCATCCCTTCCTTCAATCATTTCCTACACTCACTCCTTAACATCTCTGACAATACGCAGTTTTCAAATACCACCTTCAGCAACAAACACAGGTCTTTATTGCCATCCACGTTAGCTAACATGCTTGTTTTTAAAAAACAGAAGTACAATAGCAAGGTAATTTAAAACACAATCTCATTTTCTTAAGATACACATGCCCTAAGAAACAAGCATGTCACCTGCTGATTCACCAGATACCACTTAGGGATACCCTGCCTAATTTTGCATTGCTTATATGTTTCAGCAGCAGTACCTGAGGACATAAATGAAATCCAGCACAAAATACTTTTTACGACAGGGGCTTCCGAAGTGCCATGTCTCACAGGCAGAAATTCAAATATAGAAATATTGAGGTATTTTCTAAGTTATTTAGTCATGCCAGTTAAACAACAAAATCAGTTTTGTTTGATCATCTTGTTCAGGGTTATGCAGGAAGCCTATGGCAGAGCTGAGATCTCTGTTCCAGGCTTAAAACTTGCACTGCTGCACAACCTGTTCCTTTCCATGTGTCTCTGAAGACGTTAAATACAGATGCAGAAGTACAATGGTGTGACACACCATTATCAAGCAATCAGATCCAGGCAGTTCCCAGATCTAGGTGCAGTTTCTAAATGAAAGTTCTAAGCACTTTGCCATTTCAAAACTAGGACTAATACATTCACGAGAAATAATCACCTATTAATTTAGCTTTAATGTGGTGTAGAAGGCAAGCCGACTAGAGAATACTACTACAAAGGCAGGGCATTTTTCAGTATGCCCAGTCCATATCTGGTGAAGGAAGGGTGCCTGCAGAAAAGCCCACTTGCAAGCCAAAATAATGAAAGTTCACTGTGTTGATTTCCCCTTTTTTTTTTTTCCCCCTGAAGAGGTAATTGACACTGATATCGGGTATTTTAATGTTGAAGTAATATACCAAACTGAAATGCAAAGTAGATACACTGTAAATCATAACTCCAAAAGCCAGCTGCTTTTTGTCAGAAAAGGAAAGTTTCTTTTAACTGTTTTCTGAGACTGATATAAAACAATTTACATGACAAAAAATTTTTTGTACCATATGTTATCAGGTATTTCTTAAAGCATAAATTATGACAAATTTCTTTTTTTCTTTTTTTAATGGAAAAGAAGAATTATTCCAGACAAGCAATCCAGCTAACAATAATTCGACTTCTGATGTTTCAGGAAATGAGAAATGACTCCCCCAGTGGTGCTTTCAGTAACACTAGGAAGATCATTTGGAACACCTCGACATGCAAATTTCTAACACACTCAACAAATACTTGGATTTTGCACTAGCTTATGTGCTTAAACCCTTATGACATTAAAAATTAAAAATGTTGTTTCATAATATTCTTTCAAATATGTTTTTAATCCACACTTGATTTATTTTTGCAAAAGCCTTAATTTCATCAAATTGATAGGACATTTGGCCCCGTTCCTTCATAGGAAAGTGTACAAATTCTATAGTGGCTTTGTCATAAGCTAAAACATCAGAAGAAATTTCATTAAAATGTGTAGTGAATAAACTCCTTATTCAGTCTATTAGATATTTAGTCTCTAGAAAGCTCTTTAATTTCATAATCTCCTAACTTTAATGGTTTGTATTATTCTGTTTTGTATATATTTTTGTGTTATTATAAATTATATTTCAATAAAATATTTCTGTCATTTGTGAATATTTTTCAGAGTTATAAATTCTCATGGCATGTTGTAACGATTCTCCTTAGTCCCCTTCCTTTGCTTCCTCATTAGTATGTTGTTCTTAATGACAGTGTTGGACTATTTTCACAAAAATAAATTAAACATAATTTTATTCTTGATCTATCTGTGATTAAGACAAAGAACAATAAAAAAAATCCTGCATTTATATGGCTGTCACGGTGCTTGACTGCCTCTACCCATGGCAAACAGATAAAAACAAAGACAAAAGATAATCTCTGCAAAATTCATTTCCACAGTATAGTAATACCCCATTTATTTAGACTGTGGAGCAGGTAAGTGCCCACAGTGTGCTCATAGCGCTTACCTTCCAACCGCACAACCAAATAGAAAATGACACTGGACTGAGGAACACGGAAGGGATGTGCTCAAATCTCACCCGGCATGGAGTCAAAATGCCACACAAGCACACGCTCCTGGAGGTGCTTCTGGCTGCTGAAGGCTAGGCATGTAATCATGGCATGAATAACATCTGGGCAAGAGAGAAGAGTGCTCATCTCTCTCCAGGTCATCTGCTCTTGTCCTTGCTCCCTACTGCCTGTATGCTAGTCACAGTACAGATGCACATTCATAATTTTTGTGAGATGGTGCTGGTTATGAGCATGAGAATCTTTAACCTTCAAGTAACTGAACATGTTGTTCCAGGACTGCCTTGAAATAGTGATCATGGACCTCATTACCACAACCCTCTTCTTTCACATTCTTCGTTAACAATTATCATTTATTTGACTGTTCATGTGGAAATAAAGAAAAATACAACGAAGAAGGGAGACTGGCTGTTTCCAATACAATTCTGATCATAAAAATCACCACCACTGAAGATAAGAAGCTATCGTCATGGAGACCATTTTGTTTCTGGCTAGCTCATCCCAGATAGCAACTGAGCATCCACCAGCTCCGTGCTTATTACACGCTGCCAGTGGGATGGGAGAATGCATTGGAAAAGCATACAGATACAGATAGTTCAGCAAGTGAAGGCAGAAAAGTCAAAAATCAATGCAAAAACAATAATTCAGCACCTCTCACAGGGGGACCAGCCAGTTTGCAGGCCAATTTCAGACAGAAATCATGCAGTTCAGTGTGATTGCTCCTGTTAGACCCAGGTCAGTATGAAAGGCTCTCACTTGCTTTCCAGTGGCGGTGCTGATCAGTCTCAATACATTTTCAGTGGGAGTGGTGATGCTAGAAGTGGATGAGGAAAAATAAATCACAGGAGGGAGTTAATAGCGGCTATAATTTCTTTACATACGATTACCTAATTTTTAGTTCTAAAAAGAATTACATTCGCCCATTTCCGCTTGCTGTCCACCAACAACCTGGAGCGGTCCAACGGGCAGACACGAAGCGGGAAGCGCCATCGGACTCCTCAGCGGCCGTCCCGCCTTCCCGCCCTCCGCAGCGCGCATGCGCCGCAGCCATCTCCTAGCAACGGGGAAACAGCGGCGCGGGCCGCTGCGGCGCGATCGCCCCCGGGCGGTGCGAGGGGCCGGGGCGCCCGAGGGCAGAAGGGCGGAGCGGCGGAAAACGGCCCGCTAAGGCTCGGGCGTCTTCAGCTCCAAGTAAGCGGAAATAACGCGTTTGTGGAAGTAGCGGTGAGAGTCTTAAAGTCGGAACAGCAACGGGGGAGGTTTTGGCCCGGCTACGTCTTGCACTCAGGCCGCCGTTGGGGGCGGCGGAGTGCGGAGCTCCGGGCGGCAGCCTGGTTCGAGCCCGCCTCGACACGGCCGGGAGCCTCCAGAAATTACGGGACAGAGTTTAAAAACACCGAAGCCTGGGTTAGTTTTTAGCTTGAGAGCGTAGGTTAAAGTTCCTTCAGCCACAGCCGAAACCGGCAGCTCAGTGCCTGCTTGGGCAGCACCTCTCCTGGAAGGAAAGCGGGCGCTGTTGCAAGATTTACAACGGAGCTGTAGAGCTATATAGCTATCGGACTTATGTAGAATTCCTCTGAAACAGTAACGTGACAGGCATGAGGTCTGAAATAGCATGGGCAGTAAACGAGAGGGGAAAAAAAAGTAGAATAAAACTTCACATACAGAAGATTTACCCAAAAGAACGCTAACAGGTTGTTAGGGAGAAAATCTCAGCCTGTTTGATGGTGCTTCAGAGGTATGGGATGTATCTGCAGGCAGGACCTCCAAGACCCAGTGAGGGTTTGCTCACAGAGGAGCATCACTTGTGTGAGAGAACTCTTGTAACCTTACTGCTGATTGGAATTATCATCTATATAACACTTTAAATGCTGTATTATCTTAACCAGTGGAAGGTAAGCACAGCTGCTTTCTGTTGTTTGTTGGCTGTGTGCAAGCTATCTTTCTCACCTTTGCTGATGGAAATACCAGCATGTTTAGGATTTTTATCGCTGCTGCCATTTTCTGATTATCTCATGTTCTGCTGCTATGGCGAATGCCAAGATGGGTCTCTGAATCCTTACAGCTCCTACTGCTGTCTGCGTACCTACTGTGTGTACTTCTATCTTACACTGTAATAGACCTTTTGTTTTACCTCTCTATTAAAATATTACAGGCTAATTAGTGAGGATTTAAAATTAAATAACACTCTATTTTTCTAAACTTAAAGATCACAAGTGCGGTAATGACACCATTGAGATGCTTCCAATGCATGCAGGGAGGTGTAAGTACAATCTTGTACAACACAGGAGAGGCTTCATCTCAGGTGCTGTGGTCAGCTGAGGCCAGCTGTGCTTTCAAGAGGTTCTGTTATAATAAATTTGGGAAGGATTTCATAATTAAAAGAGGGGAGATTTAGATTGGATATAAAGAAGAAGGTGGTTTTTTTTTTTTTACAATAAGAGTGGTGTGGCACTGGCACAGGTTGCCCAGGGAGGTGGTGGATGCCCCATCCCTGGAGACACCCAAGGTCAGGCTGGATGGGGCTCTGAGCATCTGATCCAGTGTAGGTGTCCCTGTTCATTGCAGGGGAGTTGGGCCAGGTGATCTTCAAGTTGGCTTTTTCAACTCAAATGATTCTATGAAAAGACTTGCAAGGACGATGTGGGTAAGAGTTGGGTGTTTTGGAGGACATTAGAAGAGCTCCATAACCTGACCAAATGAAGGTAGAATAGAGTTATATTTGTCATCTTTAAATCTATTTTGTTTGTACTGCATATGAATGTTATAGTATGTAGTATGAGTAGAGTATAGGTAATATATGATATGTAGTAGAATTATTTAGGACTATATAGGATGTATAGAATATAGTAAATATATACTGTGTAGTACAAATATTTAGTAATCTACAAAAATATTTTGTCATGTGCTAGGAAAGTGAGAAATTGACGAAAGCTCAAACACAACACAGATACACAGTAAACTATACTAAAACAAACAAAAAAATATCTGTAATTGTCTGAGGAATAACTTGTGCAGCAGCTTTTCAATGAGAGGAGTAGGAACAAAATACCCACTTTTTTTTTTTTTTTTTTTTAGATTAAGTCAATTTTTCTTAGACAGTTTCTCAGGGGATGAGGGATTTCACTGAGTCTCAGCGAGACATTTAAAATCACACACATAATTTCTAAAAATCTCCTTCACAGGAGTTGTCACAGCTTGGATTCTCCAAGGATAGACCCCAGGTTTGATATTACTTAATATGTTCGTTATTACTTGGAAATGAGCAATAACATGGAGAAATCAAAATTTTCTGCTGAGATAAGATAGTTTCTGTTAATTAAGATGATTGCTAGAAATGTCTGAGAGCTATTCTGCAGTTAGGTGAATGGATAAAACTGCAACAGATGAAATTAGTTGTTGATACATGGAATGTAATTTGCACAGGCAGGAATATTTGGAACAATGCACTTTTCAGTAGTAAACCTGAATTAACTATAATCTGTTGAGGGAATGACCTGTTTACCATATGTGGATAGCTTAGTGAAAATCTTCACTGAAGAAATTGGGTAATAATTAATCCTCAAAAAAGGCGTAATGTCAGTGTAATAAATCAGTAGTGTTCTAGAATTGATTGTGGTATTCCAGATTAGGTTAATCATATCTGAGAAGGAAAGATTTAACAGTCACAGAGGGGCTCTGGGACAAGAAACAAATACGTCTGGAAAAGCTATATGGAAAAAATAATTAAGACAGCTTAGAAAGGTGATAAATCAGAATGTACAGGGAACCATAAAAGAAAGTAGAGAGGATCAAGGCAGGGCATCTTTGTGACTAAATTTGTACTACAAGAATGTGGGACTGTTGTACTGAATTGAGTAACACATTTATCCTGTTTGCATATTTTTTAAGCCTGAGGAGTAGTTGCTTATGAAGTACACTTGACAATCGGACCGGCGCCACAGTGTGCCACAGAATGAAGAGCAGAGGTTTAGACATTTAGGTGGTCACTAAAAATAGGTACTATTGGTAGAAAGAGCATACCAACTTGTTGTCTGAACATCTTACTGTAGGGAAATAAAAACCCATAACAGATGGAGAAAAACTGACTTTTGGGATTGATTTCACGCGTTTATCAGATATGTATCTGGAAGTAGCAGACTGATCTACCATGGAAAACTTACCAGTGTATTTTATTCTGAGTCCTGTCAGTTGCTTTGTGATTTGCTATCATGTTTGTTAATTCCTGTTACTTCATTTTATGCACATTCATGCACTGTCTCTTGCATTGTATAAATTGATAATACACTGTGTCTCTTCAGCTTAGAGTCACAACAGGAGGGAAATACTCCTTATACTCCTTAGGGCGCCTCTGACCGGACACCAAGCAGTTAAGCTTTAGAAAACAGCAAGTGTGGTTCTTGGACAGCACAAAAACAGGTAGTTTTGTTGGAGTCTGACAGGCCTGGTATCTCTCTTTAGTTCTTTTTCTTTCCTCTGGCTGAGAGGAATAGGATAAATAGGAATAAGGAGATGTGATAGTACTTGCAGGAATGCAAAGCTAGACATTCTGTTCTACCTCCTAAAGGGAGATGTTAAAGCTTCTATGATTTGGAAAAAAAGCAAGTGTTGAAAAGCCGGGGAAGATCTCATCATTGTCTATAAATACCTAAAGGGAGGGTGCAAACAAGTCGTGTTTAGACTCTTTTTAGTGGTGCCCAAAGCCAGAACAAGAGGCAGCGAACACAAACTGGAATAAAAGGTGTTCTGTTTACATCAGGAAGTACTTCTGTGCTGTGTGGGTGGCAGAGCACTGGCATGGTCTGCCCATAGAGGCTGTGGGTTCTCCTCCTCAGGACTTGGCTGGACACAAGCCTGAGCATTCTGCTTTGGATGGCCCTGCTCCAGCAGGGTTTTGGGCCAGATGGACACAGAGGGCCTGCGGATCTTGGCCATGCTGTGTTTCTATGACCGTGCACAGATAGTAGTAATGCAGCTTCAGACTTAGAGCCTAAGTCCAGAGTCTGTCAAATCCCAAAGTGGATCACGTAATAAGTAACTAATTGGAAACTATTCTTAAATCCTTCTTTGCTCTGCTTTTCCATGGGAGCAATTGTTTTCAGAAGGGAAAAAAGCCCTTGCTTCCTTGACAAAAGAGATTGGTTCCACAGCTGTCTATGTCTTGAACTTAGTCTTGTACATCTCATATCTTCCTAGCATTTGGTGTGTATCAGGTCTTCAGTTGTTGTGTCAGTTATTTAAGATTTTAGAAGGCAGAAGATGCAAATGGATCATGTAATGTTTTGTAAATGCTTTGTTTGACTTAAAAATCACAAAATAATATGACCTCTACTTGTATGTAGCAGGACTGTGACAGTGTCAATATGTACCCCATGCAGTAAAGGAAGCATTCATAGGATTTTAATATTTTGACCAGTACAACCACCGTAAGATTTTTCTCATATTTCAAAGTGTGATCTATGTTATAAAATAAATCTTTTGTTAATTGCTTTACCTTTTTTATTTATACTATCCATATAATCCATAATCTGGTGATTAAAGTAGCCCAACACCTCACTGGTGAACAAGTGTATTGATGGAAAACAAGTTGAGTCCAGTGATACTCCTGTTGTATTGTTTCTGTGGTGTTTTTTTGTTTTGTGGTGTTTTGTTTTTTATTTATTTTTTTTAGAAAAGTCAATTGTCAAAGAACTTGGTTAATCACGTTGGGTAATGCTGCTTCTCTGAAAGAGTGGTCAGGCACTGCAATGGGCTGCCCAGGGAGGTGCTGGAGTCACCAACCCTGGAGGCGTTCAAGGAACATTTGGACGTTGTGTAGAGGGACATGGTTGGTGAGGACTATTGGTGATTGGTGGATGGTTGGACTGGATGGTCTTGTAGGTCTTTTTCAACCTTGTTGTTTCTGTGATTCTGTAATCCAATAAAGCAGTTATCTGTAGTTAAAAGCAGCAATGCTTAATGTCTTGGAAGCCTAATTTATTTATCTTAGTATAGTGACTAGAAATAGGTGGCTACTTTAGGTTTGTGGTGTAGGAAGCAATTCACACTAGCAGGGAAGTTCCTAGAGTAAACCAATGAAAGGAAGTAAGCACAGGAATAATGGTCATCATTATCTGAAGATCTGATGCTTAAAATCTGCTCTACTGGGCTTCTGCAAGAAATCTTATGAAAAATGAAGTAACTTTTCCTTATTTTGTTTGAAGTGCTGGGTCAACATGCAACAGCCAGAAGGTTTGAGGGTTCAGCTTTTGAACTAAAAAGTCCACATTCATGACCTTCCTTTGAATCATTTTCCACTCATGGGTCAAATGTTACAGAGTCACAGAGACGTCATCAGAAACTGTTCCTTCAGCCACGTTCAATAATACAAGGCAGCTGTGTTATATCACGTGCCTAGTTCTGCTCGTGCACAGTCTACTGTGATAGCATCAACCAGACCTGGCTTGGCATGTGGATTCATGTGGAGAAACAGGGTGAAATATTTATCTCACTCATTTGAGTTGTCAGCAGCATAAATGTCAATATATGAGCTAGCAACTCTAGGTTTCCTTTTTTGGTCGGAGGAAACAACGGTCATTTTTGAAGGTGTGATTCACCTGACCAATTTTAGACACTGACCTTAGGATGATCTGCCTTAACGGCTGTTGGATGTACAGGCTAGATCTCCATCCAGTATTAAGGAGAGTGACTAGCTTAAGTACTGATGCCTAATTTAGTTCTGGTCCTACAAAAAAGCTGGAGGCCCTTCTGAAATTTGGAGTGAACAGTGGGAGAGTTTTGGGGACTGTCATTTTGGAAAGAAGATGTACTTAGACCTCATGTCTGCCTTAATGGCTGGGAGACAGCATCTGATCGTATTGCTGCACTGAGGAGGGCTGGGAGCAGAGAAAAACAGGGCTGTTTATCTGGCACTGAAATCAGTACATTCCAGGTGAAGGACGGGAAGTGGCACTGAATGATAGCTCCATAGACTGCTCAGCTGGGCACTGCCTACACCTGTTTAGTCAAAGTCCTTTATTACCTCTAGCTCTATATGATTTAAACAATCAACCCTTTCATCTCAAGGCATGTGGAAAAACTACACTCCTAGTAATGAACACAAAGTAGAGAACACTACTCAAATAAGAATATTATTTATTTTGTCCTAAAGATTTAACTAACTGCATTTAATCAGATGTAAATAGAGTTTTAGGTTTTAAAGCATTTTCAGGTAGCATAAACCCAACATTTAATTGCATTAAAAATACAAATCCCACTAAAAATTTTGTCTGATTTAAAAATCTTTAGAATAATAAACTGAGTGAATGATATGCATTCTATACGCAGTTATAGAGAGAAGTTGACTTATGGACCATAACCTTTAAGTACGTGTATTCAATACAGAAGATGCATTTCTAGTGTTTAATATATTCTAGAATACTGTTGCCTCATAGCAGTTGTCTCACTGAAGGCAGAATACAAAGAGCTTTATGGGGAGCAAGCTCAACTACAGTTGTTGGCAGAGTACATTGAAATCCAGCACAGAACTGCAGTAGAGAAATAGACTGAAAGGCATAATCCATGCTAATTATCCAGTTCCCCGTGCTTGTTGCTGCATGTGATATGCCCTTTTCAGTATTACTGAGGAACCAAATGCTTCTGAGCATGGGGAGCAACACGCAAATTCCTTGAAAGTATCTTTGGAAGTTGGATGCGCTTATAAAGCATGAAGAAATGCTGCTAAGAGTTCACAGTGTTAGAATACGTACAGTATTTGAATCTGTGAACATTAGTTGCACAACACTTCCTCTTATATGTTAATTGGTCTCTAGCCAAAACTGCAATTTTGAAACACTGAATTGTTCTGTGTCTGTGCGTTCGTACTTGCATGTGTGCATGAGTGGAAAGGAGATTGGAACTGAAAAATCTCCGGTCTTATGAGTCTTCCAATCAAGGCTACAATTAGTGACCTGCCTACAAAGTTCTAAACTTCAGATCCATGTTTAGGATGTGCTTCTCAGCTGGATTCATTACTGCTGTGCTGTAGTTTGTTGGGGAGGCCAGTAGAGGACCAGCACCTGAAAAAGTCCAGAGGATTCAAGAGCTCCAAAGTTTCAGGAACCACAATAAACTGTAGCCCTGACTTTTGTAATCAGCCAAGCTACAGATCTTGTTGTGCTAGATGATTATCTCTTGTTGCACTGCAAGAAGCTGTCAGGCTAGGACTGGCTACAGGTGATAGCGTGCTTTCCCCTTGTGAACTACCGAGTTGTTTTTAAGGGATATTAAGAGTGCACGTTTTGTTTTTACATGGTGTTAAAACAAACCTAAGTTTGGCATAACTTGGGCTATGTTCTCTGCAATGTTAGTGCTAGAGGGTCACTTTGTGCTTTACTTTTTGCCTGCAGCTTAACTGGAAGGCTCTCAGATGAAGTTTTGCAAGCCACGTGAAATTAGGTCCACATGGGGTTATTACATCCATATGCTTCAGAAGCTGCTATTAGTTGCAGCTGAGAAGGTCTTCTAGGTTCACTTGCGCGTGTGCTAATACGAAAAAAGCAGAAGACAGAACCTGCTGTAATATTTTTTTAAAAAAGTTGTATTAAAATCAGTGAAAATCATACCATGCAAAACTGTTCCTTTGTGCCCACAGACCTGATTTTTGTCCTCTGTTAAATATGGACAGAGAATTTGAATTGAATTTGAAATCCTTTTTCAAGGTAGAGCTCATCTGTTCATTCTACAGCTGTATAGAATGTTGGCCAGCATATAATGTATAGGCAAACATAGGGAAATAGCCTGTTCTTGTGTGATTTATAGATGCAGTCAAAACTGACTTACAAAAGTGCACGTCTTGTTTATCTGTACCACATGACAGCTTGAGCCTGGGATGTCTTGCATCTTTCCTTTTAGCTAGGTGTTTTTTGATAGATACCTTTTAGCAAATGTGTTCAAGCATTAGAAAGTTTGTTGTGTTGCACAAATGAAACGTTACTGTTTGAAGGCATGGCTTTCTGTACAGAAATTACGGTGTCAGTGAATTGTTCCAGTTGATTAGATGGGGCAAATGAATGCAAAGGTCAGTCTTAAAGTTTTCCTAAAGCACTGGTAAACTGATTTGTGAAGCAGGTGAAAGTTTGTCTGTTTTATTTTTCATTTTTGTGTTTTTGTTTTTAGAATGGGTAAAAAAGTGAGGAAGGAAGTAGAGCCTCCACCCAAGGATGTGGTAAGTATATAAACTACAGCATGCTATAAAATAAACATTGCACAATTATAAGCCCAGCTCTACCATCCTTACGTAGTTCCTTACTCTCCTAGCTTGCCCACATTATTCTGACTATGTCCTTTAAAGATAATTCTGTTACTGCTTTTTTTGGACAGCATACAAACCAAACTGACTGATGTGTAGTTCTTTGAGGAGATTGTTGTCTTTGGCAGGCTTTGCAAGTAATAATATATGTAACAATCCAGGCTTCTTTTTATTTGAGGAGCAGTATTAGTTTTCCATTTGTAAAAATCAGAAGAAGGTGGGAGAGACCTGAAATGTGCTTCTCTTTTGAACTGTGGAACCATTCCCAAGGATGAAAGAGTTAAAAGCCTATATAAATAAGCAGGGTTGTTTTGTTTGTTTTTTTTTAAATACAAGAGTTTTACAGATACTTTGAATGTATGTAGTATATATTCTGCATCTCTTGCAAAGGTATATGGTCTCAAGGAGTAGTTCAGGGTTTTGTTTTTTTGTATCATTGAAAATTGGCACAGCAAGAAGTACTTAGATTTGAAGCCAAATATGGAATAATGATGGTATATGACTACCTTTTTCCCCAAAAAACTGGAGATTAAAGATCTGACACTAGCTAATGAACACTTTCTGAGGGATTCTCTGATGCTGCGAGGTACAGGGAGATCCAAAAAGAGGTAGAAATTTAAAATATAGAAGTCTTATAAATCTTACTGGTTTATTCAGAAAGAAGTAAGACTGAAACACTGAACAAACAAAACACAAATTCAGCACCAGGTACTGAATTAGTTAATGAAGAATTGTTTCATTGGATATTCCCAGAAAGAGCACAAAATTAAAGGCAAAGCTTAGTATGTGTGGTTTTGTTTTGTTTGTTTTTAAACAACAACAAAAAAAAGGGCTTTCTGAGAGTAAAGGAACTGGAAAAGGTTTTTCAAATGTCATAGCAAAGTTGATCAGCAAAAATGACGTCATGGTGTCAGTGCTAGTTCAACATAAATGATTTTGACCAAGGCAGTAGAAGTAGCCATTATGGTTGAATTCAAATGTTCAAAGCCATGATGTCACTGAGGTTTAGTCTGATCTTACACAACGTATGGGAACTGCTGGATCACGGCCCGAACCTCTGATTGATCACCTGAGGCGAGCGCTGAGTCAGCCATGGAGCACAGGTGAAGGCAATTCTCCTGTGCTGCCGGAAGGGTGGAGCCTGGCTGCACCTCTCCTAAGGCCCATTTAAGAGCTGACTGCCAGCGGGGAAGGAGCTCTTCTGGAGATCTCTCCCCTGGAGTTTTGTGGTGAGCCCAGGATATGGGTAAGCATTCTGCCTATTCTGTTTTGTGTAATAACCTGCTTAGCCAAACTCTCTGGTATGATTCGTAATTATAACATCTATGCATTCATTGATTATACACACGACTATTCTGTGGAAAGCTTAATATTACAAATGTAGTTCATAAGCTCCAATCAATTGTAGATGCTTATGAATGGAGACTTGAGTTAAAACTGTAACATGAGGTGTTAAATTGGCCTAACACTAACCCAAAAAACAAGGAGACAAAAGAAGATACATATATCTAAGGCTAATTAAAGCAGACTTGAATAATTAAACTGAATATCTTTTCAGTCTAATAAGAAAGTGGAAAGGCATAATAATGGATGTAGGGCCTACAGATATGCTACCCCCTTCAAAAATAGCAGAAAGAGACTAGTAATCATCTAGAAAATCAATTAGAAACAGGACTTTGGCTCCTGTATTCGGAAGCCACCGTTTAGAGTTTCTGAAGAAAAGACTGGTGCAGCCTTCTACCAGTGCAGTCAACTGTGAATAATGTTAGGAAAGATATTAAACAATTGGGAAAAAAAAGTAAACTTACGAAAAAGGTTAATAAAACCACTGAAAGGGAAAGCGTTAGAAAGAGTGAAGTCCAGATGGCATCTGTGGTTTCTGGCTTAGATACTTACTCTTATTGTACTTCAGGCTAGCATTTCTCTTCTAGCAGTACTATCAGGAGAAAACAACTGAATGTTGAATAGCAAAACAGTATTAAATATGAATATAGATCCTTGATTAGTTTTTACTATCAGCCAGGAAAATCTTCTAGCTGTGAGAGTATTGTTGACACCAATCATGTCAAATCAAATTTCAAACCTTTAAATTTCACCTGGCAGGAAATGAGATGCAGACAAATCACCTGATATATTGGCTATTATTTTCTGATTGATAAACTGCTTATGGGAATGTTACATCTGAGAAAAGAAGCCTTGAGAAATATGGACAGGTTTATGTAAGAGGGTATTGCGTAATTCTCTGAGAATACATGATACTGCAGATGGTAGCTGATCTTTATAGATTTCTAGGAATAGGTAGAAAATACATCTCTTAGCCTAGCCAGTGCTTAGCTGCTTCAGAGAGTACTTCTGAGAACACTTTTTTCTCCATCTTTTGTATATTGCTTTTTGCTATTATCTGTTTTGGGGGCTGGGTTTCTCCAAGAAAAACAATCATTTGGATGTCCCTCTCGCTATGGGTGACCTCAGATGATATTGTAAGCAGAAAAATTGTGTTAGCTTTGGCATAGGTCAGTAAGAACTTTTCATAACCAAAGGCTGCTCCAAAAGTAGTGCCTCCTATTTTATGATGTTGGCCCACAGTGTCAGAGGTAGATGTTGGTGGTATGGAAGTAGAGGTTGAGTCTTCCTACCAGTATCCTGTTATGTTTTGTTGCCATGTGACAGATGGCAGCAGAGGGACAGTCTGACAAAATGACATCTGATGTGGTAGTGTGAATGAAGCAAAGGTGTGGAATTGAATTCCTCCATGTGCAGAAAATTGCACCCATTGGCATTCATTGACGCTTGCTGAAGATTTATGGAGACCCAAGAGCGAATGTTAGCACGGTGAGTAGGAGGCTGCTGTATTTCAGCAGGGGTGGCAGTGATATGAAAGACAAGCTGTGTTCTGGGCGACCGTGAAGAGTTTTACAAGCACAGCATGCAGACTCTTGTTTATTGCTGGTGATCATACATAGCTAATGGTGGTGTCTGTGTTGAAAAATAGTGTTTTGTAGCTGAAAACTTTCTTTATCAAGTAGTGCTATTGTGCTCTTTATATCTGATGTAGTTTCCATGAAAATAAGTAGGAAGTATTACTTTCAGAGCAACCTATGTAGATAGTGTTTTAAGTTTGTTCTAGTCAACACTGTTATTTGTTCATCAGCTAGGGCACTTGTGTTAGTAGAAAGCCTAAGGTTGCCACTAGAGAAAATACTGAGATAAAAGAAAGATGTAGCTATCTGTGGATTTTTGAAAATAGCTTCACTTGTGACACTGATGTTAAAAATCAAAGTATGAAGGAACAGAAGTGGTACTGTCAGCTCTGGATGGGAACACCTTTTGAGGAATCAATACCTAAATATTAATTTGACTGGACTTTACTAAGGCATTCAACACTATCTTTCATAACATCCCCATAGACAAACTGATGAAGCGTGGACAAGATAAACAGACAGTGATGTGAATTAAAAACTGGCTGAGCTGCTGAACTCTGAGGGTTGTGATCAGCAACGTGAAGCCCAGCTGGAGGCCAGTTGCTCCTTTTGTGCCCCAGAGGTTAACCTCTTCATTAGTGACTTGAGTGACAGGACAGAGTGCATTTGCGGCAAGTTTACAGACAATATGAAATTGCTGGGAGTGACTGATGCACCGATTGGTTGTGCTGCCACTCAAAAGGTCCTCAAGAGATCAGAGGAATAGAGAAAACAAGAATTTCAGTAAGTTCATTAAAAGCGGGTGCAAAGTAGTAATCTGTACAGACTGGGTGATGACCAGCTGCAAAGCAGCTTTGCAGAAAAGCACTTGGCAGGCAGTAAGTTGACCATGCGCTAGTAATGTACACTTGTGGCAAAGAAGGCCAGTAACACTGTAGGGTGCAGTAGGCAACATTGGCTTGGCAACTTGTGGGACATGACTGCTATCTTTCACTCAACTTTGAGATCAAATCTGGAGTGCCATGTCCAGTTTGGCGTTCATCCAGTACAGCAGTCACGTGGACTCACTGCAGCAAATCTGGCGAAGGGCCACAAAGATGCTGAAGGGCTTGAAACGTTTGTCTTCTGAGGAGAGGCTGAGAGCTACAACTGTTCAGTGTCGAGAGAAGGCTCTGAGGGGTCTTGTCAATGTGTATGAACAGCTGATGGAAGGGAACGAAGAACTGAGCCACACTCTTCTCAATGGCGCTTTCTAGAAGGGTGAAAGGCAATAGGTACAAACTGAAACTCAGGAGATTCTGTTTAAAGATGAAAAAAAAAGCACATCTCTTTTACTAATGGATGATGGAACACCGGTTCATTTCGTTCAAAAACAGCTTTTAAAGGATATTTTAGAAAAATAGCATGATTGAACAATAGAACAAGAAGAGATGCATCTTTCAAAAGGTGGGATCGGCCCAAAAATGAGTCTAATAAGAAGGTGCTGTCACATTTCTCAGAGAGTAGGAATGAATCTAATACCTATACAAATGTATAGATGTAAGACCAGTTCGATTCTGCCTATATGCCAACCTGCAATTAATGTCTAGGACTTATCAATGAATTGTAGTTTATACAATTACCTGTAACATGGGAGGCAAAGAAAATAGGACAACATAGTAATATTTTTATTATTAGATCAATGTAAATAAATAACTGAGATTTAAAACTCTTACTTCATATTTCATTTCTTATTAACCTTTATCTGAGATCAATCTTTAAGTTTAATTTATGTTTCCCTGAAAGAGTATCATCCTTTAATAAAAATTAAAGTTTCATACTATCACCAAGTGTTTGGCCAGACATGGCCCTGCTGTTGCCAGTGAAGTTTCTGCAGGGTTGGATTTAACTTTGCCTCTTTATATATCACTTTTCATTCAGAGCTTAATGTAATTAAATTGTCTGCAATTGCCTGGGAGAGCTATTAGGAATCCATTTTGAACTGTAATATAGAAAATGTATGGTAACTTATTCTTTTATTATTTATATTTTTACCTTATAGAAGAATAACCAAGCCCTACAACCAATAGAGATAGAGAACATCTTCATCAGTGCAAAGGAAAAAGGGCACGCAAGGTGTGGCAAGGATTCTGCTCTGTGGCAGACTGCTTTGTGAATACCCTTCTCATAGCTTCAGCCCTTGAAGTGCCGTACCAGATGTGTACCCTTGTGGAGCAGCTGGAAGGGAATAGAAAATTGTAGCTGGGAAAAAAAAATAAATTCTCTTGCTAGAATAAAAAACTGCCCCAAGAAGCTTATATCCTGCACATATTTAAGAAATATTGACAATATATCTTTGTTGGTCATAGAGAAGTAAAATGTATTCAGCTAAGCTGAACAGACATGAATTTAGCATCAAAAAGATATGACCTATTTGGCCTCTTAGTGGTTATTTTTTTGTTTGTTTGTTTGTTTAATTGAAAAAGGTTCTGCTCTATATGTTTAACTGTATCCATGTCAGTACCAATTTGCTGGTAGAGCTTACCCACCCTGATAAAGCAGTGAGAGTTTAGATATAGTCCTAATGTCTTCTGCTAATGAAAAATCTAAAAGCAAAAATTCAGTCTAGATATGTGTGCACTCAGTTTTCCTCTTCTTGTACTGGAGAGGTAGCATGTGTTCATCTGAGTTTAGTTAATGACTTCCTCAACTTGTCCCGTGCCTTCACCTTGTCACAACAAGCATGAAGAGGGACAGATCTGCGTATTTCCAAGACCTGCTTGGGGTTAGGGAGAGCAGTTAAGCACATGAGCCAGGTAACCGTTTTGCTATTAGGGAAACATGGATCTTCATAGAATCGTAGAATCCTTAGAGTTGGAAGGGACCTCTAAAAGTCTCATCTAATCTAATTCTTCTGCAATCAACAGGGATGTCCAGAGTTAGATTGGGTGCTCAGAGCCTGGTTCATTCTGGTCTTTAGTGTCTCCAGAGATGGGGCTTCCACCACCATCCTGGGCAACCTGTTCCAGTGCCTCACCACCCTGACTGTAAAAGACTTGTACCTTAGAACCAACCTAAAGATCATCAGGGATTATCATGGAAATGCTTCAGTGTGTGCAAGATTGTGGTAAGCTAGTGTTCAGCAAGTGAAATGAGTTGATGAAGGCACAGGAAGAGTCATTTTAATTTATTTATTTCTAATTACTCCCACTAAGTAGTAGTGCCACAGAGTAACCAAATCTTACGCCTCCCCATATTTGATTTGGAAGCTGTAGGATGTTCTTTTAGGTGTAACAGAATTGTGTAGTCTTTATCCTTCAAAGAGATATACAGGGAACTGTCAGGGTTTTCCCCAAATCTTCATACGACATGAAATGAGATGATTGTATTAAGTCAATTATTCTTAGTTATTTTTCAAAAGCATTTCAAATTGTTACTGAAAGTTAAAATTCTCCATTTATTGATGAAATGTGGAAGTCTACTGCAGCTCACTGCTATTCTTCCTTTTTTTGTTTTTGCTTTTTTCCTAGTTTGAGCCTTTACTGATTGAAAGCAAAGCAGCAGCAACAGTTGTACTAATGCTTGATTCTCCAGAAGAGGAAGTTTTGGCCAAAGCATGTGATGCTATATATAAATTTGCATCAAAAGGTCAGTCCTCAACTCAGTAAGCTTTCTTCTGCCTTGCTCATGTTTTGCCAGCCGTTCAGAACTTTTTGGTTTCCTCACACTAACGTTTTGAACCTCTGTCAAAGTGTTGTTTTGTTTTTCCCTCAGAAATATGTCACTCCTGTATTTGCAGTAAAAAAGAAGCCCTATGGTTTGTATGGAGGTTTCTAACATTTTATTGTAGAAATTTATATTCTCAGAGAAATGGTTGTTTGAAAGTTCTTGTATCTCAATGAGATGCATATTCTGAAAGGGAGGGAAGTAGCTATAAACTGCATATCCTAAACTCTTGCTGGCTCTCTCCCTGCTGTCCACAGTAACACAGAAAAGATAGGCAGCTTCCCCCTTAGTTCATTTTAAAATGAATTATAAAAGGAAGGAAGAATACAAGTTGATCTTGGATTTTGTTTCTTTTTGTTTTTTTTTTTTTAATTCACTTTTGCATGTGCGCTTCTTTTTCTTCTTTTCTTTGAGTGAGCAAGGAACGGAAGGCTGTAATCGTATGAAACACTTCTGTTGGTAGAAATCTCAGGTAGAAGTTAGTGATTCAAATCATGGTAGTTACTTCAGGAAAGTAAATTTGGAAGGCAAAAAAATAGGAAGGTTCACAACATAATTCACCTGTACTTCACCAAATAGAAAGCTATCTGTTGTACTGCTATGGTAGTCGCTAGTAAATGTGCGGGTGGCCAACAGACAGGCATCCTTTGCTTTAAAAATAGGAATTAATCCTAGAGAACTGTTCCTATGCATTGAATTAGAAATCCAAAGTGTGTGATGATGTTAGACTATCCATTACACATATTATGAAGAGTTTGATTTGAATAGCCAATTTTAGTACTGGAACTTCTGGCTTCTGAATGCTTTTTCTTTCTTCAATGTTTCTTAAAATAATTTTTTTTTTCACTTTTTATTATCACTGTTTATTTTATCACTTTTATATTAAGTATCCAGATTGAGACAAATTCTGTTGTAACTGGTGTAGCTTGTGAAAGGCATGCGAAAAGAGATTAAACAGATTAATGGTCCTTGATAATGTGATGGTGAAAAGCCAACCTATATCCTTCCCCATCACTTGGCACAGTAGGAACAGGTTCTTCCTTATTTCTCTCCAGAGATGTATGGGATCACCGTTTCTCCTGGTGATCTGCTGTGTAGTAATGTTATCTGTCCAGTTACCATGCTAGCGAAGCACCTAACTTTCAAGGCAGTCATTTTGGATTATCTGTAAATTCATTTAACAGCAAGTGTTGCCAAAACTAGCAAAAATAGTCTCTGCTGCTACATAGCAGCAGGGGCAGGTTGCTCTGCAAGGCAAAGGAAAGCAGGAGTCAGTGACAGCAGAGCACACAAGGGCTCATGGCCTCCAAAATGGGTGCAGTCCCATGAGTACAGTGAGAACACATCCCACAGTGGTAACCAGTCAGTCAATGGTCCAGTGGTCACCGAGCAGTCTGTAGTGTGGTGAGGCAGGTTTGAGGTCAAGCCAAGCAGTCACATCTGTGGTCAGGGTCTGGATCAGTGGATACATGTATGAAATGAAGAGCAGGGGCTTGACTTAAATGCAGTTCCTGATAGAAGTGGAGAGTCCTCGTGTAAGGCTTTTTTCAGAAGGCAGTGAGTCCTGATACATGTTTTCAAACTTTTTAAGATAATATTGAGACCTAGAAGTTACTTTTGTTCTGTTGGAGACCGAGATTCTGTTTTACTGTTATGATCCAAGAAGGAGATCAATGTGACATCACATCCATGAACTACGTTTTTAAAGTGTGTGTTTGGTATATTTTGTTTGATACTTTAAGATCTTAAGATCTTTTTGATGATATTATTGATGTATTCTGACAAATTCATGTTCTACCTATTATATTTTAGGTCACTGAAATACTGTTATACTTTGTTACATTAGAACTATGAGCTTGTTGCTTTTTTTTTTTTTTTAACCTAACTCTTAACGTATTTACTCTTCAGGTGATGAAAACAAAGTGGCACTTCTTGGTCTTGGAGCAGTGGAACGTTTGTATAAACTCATCTCACATGAAGATCCAATAGTACGCAGAAATGCCATGATGGTATTTGGTATCATGGCTTCTAATCGTAAGAGTCTCTGTATTTTTCCATGTATATGGTTGTAGCTGTTACAGCAGTAGGTGGCTCATATAAAATAAATAAATGTTAAATAAAAAAAAAATCCTAAATCAGTAACTCAAAAGAGTTACTGATAAAAAAACTCAAAAGAAGAGATTTCAGAAAAAAGAAAAAAAAAAATTGAAAGATAAGTGTAATTTCTTCCAGTCATTATTTTTGCTTTGCCAGGATGAAACTGGAAGAGTTTACTATTGGAATTCTGCCTATCTGAGAATGCCTGACTACTTATGATACCCAGCTAATGTGGATATGAAACATTCTGAACTTTTACAAAAGTTGGAAATGAGGGATAAAATGCTATTTATCACATACAGAAAATGCTGCATTTACTGAAGGCATTGGTATAGCTGCAACAGTACGAGAGAAAATGCGTTAGATTCATAACATCTAACTCGGGTATCAGCAAAAAGAAATCCTGAACTTTGAAGCACTGATATGCATATTTGCCCAACTTCTTTGGAAGCTGCTGTAGGTGTTCATTATCTGTATCTGAGCTACTGAAGTGGAACTATCTCAGACATCTCTCAAACATTTCAGTTATGGCAAACTTGCATATCTATTATAGCAGTACCATTATTAGATGTATTAACCACAATCTAATGTTGCATTGGACCTTATGCAGAAAAACAGGTAGTGATGGCTTGAAAATTAAATAAAGGATGGATTGTTTTTAGTTTGATTACTGTAAGCAAAAATATTTTATCTATTCACGTGTAACTTGACAACTAAAACTATGTAATGTATAGCAAGAACCTCCTAGGTGCAAGTATTTTCAGTGGGAAGTATTGAGGAACTTTTCAGCTACAAAATAACAAAGAATGTCATTTGGTACTTTAAAATCTCCTGTGTGTTTTCTGGGCCCGTTTTCTTTGTTTAACTTTGGTTACATGTCAGTCTCAATCAAGTCTTTTTGTCACTCGTGGAGTAACCTGAAGTACATTTCCCTTGGAGCAAAATCTGTTTTTTTACTTGCTTGCCAGATAAAAGACCTCACAAATTTATTTCATTGTAGATGATGTCAAGAAGTTACTGAGGGAACTGGATGTCACAAGTTCACTTCTGTCACACCTGGTACCAGAAGGTAACTTCCAGTATTCCTTGTGCAAAAATACTCTCAAAAAGCATTTGCTATTGCTATTTGACCAAGCAGTTTAATAAAATTCTTCTCTTATGATTTGCCATAATACATATTAAATAGATGATCACTTTTATAGGCAGAGATCAGTAATTCATTGGGTAATGTTTTATGCTGTACAGATAGAGCAACATGTTCATGGAGAATTGAGATGCAATTAACAGCTAACATTTGTTTATTTTTTTACTGTATCTTAAACCACAGATTTGTGACCATGTACTGTGCTGAATAAACTTGAACAAAATTTTTTTTTTCTTATAGAAGATGTGGTTATTCATGAATTTGCTACTCTGTGTCTGGCACATATGGCTGTTGAATATACTACTAAAGTACAAATATTTGAGCAAGGTGGATTAGAACCACTTATAAGTCTACTAAGTAGTCCTGACCCTGATGTTACGAAGAATTCAGTTGAATGTATTTATCTCCTGGTACAGGTAAAGTTTATTGATTTAGGGAAAAATAAAAAATAAAAAAAATTAGAGGCAGATGAGCATTTCCCTATGGGGTCAGCAATTTTAAAATATTTGGTTCCTTTACTCTTCAGCACTCATCAGTGGGTATGAAAACTTCAGTTGTCGCATGAACTGTGAATATTACTGATTTGACCATACTTATGTCCAACTTAATGCAATTATGCATGCTGTACAGCAATGTGAGATCAGAATCAGATTCAGATGTTTTCAATTAAATATGTATTGTTTTCTTATTTGGAAAATAGTAGTCTTGGTAATGTGAGTTATAACCAGTCTATCTAAAAGGTTGGAATAATTCTAGAACTGTATTAGTGATTTCATTATGCCTTGTTTTGGCCAGTAAGTCCATAGTTACGCTTGTGAACATCTTTCTGATGATAGGTGGGTGCTGTCAGCAGCTACTTTCCATACTAGAGGGATAGATTCGTTATTGGCTACTTTCACACTCAGCACTAATGTCATCCATATGCTGCTTAGCAAAAGAATGGTGCATTTGTATGTCAGTTCTCCTGCAAAGCTTAAGCGAATCAATTCAATAATGGATTCCGTTTATAACTCTATCTCTTTTGGGGCATCAGAGCATGTCTATTCAGAATCACATTTTTACTATCTCGCTGTCTTTGTTGCAGGGTATATCTGGATAACTGCACCTGGTGCTTGCTTATATTGATAAGGATAATTGCATGCTGCACATGTGCAGTGAGCTATTTAAAAGCAAATTGTAATTTATTTATATTTTTTCTATTTTAATATAATCTACTACTTTCTTTTTATTAGGCAGTATATATATTGTGTAAATTCAAAAATTTTAATCATTGTTTTATAGTTATTGAAGGAAAAGATGTAACCAGGCAACCACAGCGTAGTGGGAAAAGTATTTTTCCTCTCATTGAAATAAATAAAAATTATGAAACTAAATTTTTAAAACTTTCTTAAAAAATAAGTATGTTGAGATAAACATGGCAAAACCAAGAGTAAACTGGCTTCTTTAGCTAGAGCTAAATATTGTAATGTATACCTCAGTAGCACAAAAAATGTGGATTTTAATGTAATGTGGGGGAGATTGTACTAAATTTGGTTCTTGGACAAAAAGAGAAGTCTTTAGAAATGCAGGTTCTTAAGTATTGACTCCTTTTTGTATTTTTGAAATTAGATTTTTGTTGTTCTTTCTGTAAATTCAGGAACTACTGTACTGATTTATTCTCTATTGCTAACATTCCTTGTTGAATATTTTACTGCAGGATTTTCAGAGCCGTGCTGCTGTTTGTGAACTGAATGTAATTCCACCGTTGCTGGATCTACTGAAATCTGAATATCCTGTTATTCAGTTGCTAGCCCTTAAAACCTTGGAAGTAATTAGCAAAGACAGAGAAACAAGGATAATACTGGGAGAAAATCAAGGATTAGATTGTCTTCTGAAGATACTGGAAACCAATGTATAGTTTACTTGCCACACAAGTTTTTTTGTTCCTTTGCTGCTAATGTTTGTGTGACTAATGAGAAATATTGTTCATGTTATGGAAGAAAGATAACAGAAGAAATAGCTCCTTACTTGGAGCTAGCTATAATGGAAACAAAATAAGCAAGGATGCCCAGCTTGCTATAAAAAGCAAAGGGATTCGAAAAAATGTTTGTGTTTGTTTTATTGCCTTATTTATGATACTCTTTTATGTTTGCTGTCCTTTCTCAAATGGTTGTAAATATCAGACAGATTTGCCATATACTTTTTCATATGATGTTTTCTCTAAAATCTTTATTAGATGCGAACTCTGGTGTGGTTTGCAGTTTGAATACTGACTTTGTTTGCTGACTTTCCCATGATATCCATACCTTTAAATATAATTTCCTTCCTTGGAAATGCCATTGTTTATGTTATTATGACACTCACTATAGTGCTTCTTGACTTCACGTGTCAGTCACCATGGGAAATACAATGCATAGAGAAATTTGTGAAGTTTTTGAAATTCTAAGATGTCAGATCCTTTCTGAATATTTGCCTAACCCACTTAGGTATAAATGAGAAACATTTTGGATTTTTTTAGAGTTTTTAATAAGCTGCGTCCTAAAGCACATCAAAGAAAGTATGTATACAAAAGGTACAAAAATGAAAAGATAAAATTTGTACTATAAGCAAACAGTCTAAGAGAAAGTTATGACAATTATCCTCCAAAGTTAAAAGCCAGAGATATTTTAATTGTGGTTTTAAGGATATTTGTCTGGGCTTTTTTCCTCACTAGGAATTCAACGATCTACATGTGGAAGCTCTTGCTGTGCTGGGAAATTGTCTTGAAGATGTGCATACTATGCAATTGATTCGGCAGACAGGAGGCCTTAAAAAGCTGCTTTCGTTTGTTGGAGTCTCTACTGTTCCTGATATTCAGAAGAATGCAGCGAAGGCAATTGCCAAAGCAGCTTGTGATTGTATGTGACTTTTAAAAAAATTATGTATGTGAATTTGTTTATTAAGTAAATTTTTATCCAGAATAAGGTGATCTTCCCTGGTTGAGGACAGTACTTTTGCAAGTACATTGGGTAATGTTCAGATATATATGTATACATTCAAAGATTAACTTATTTTAAGATTAACATTTTTAAATGTAATGTATTCTTGCAAAATGCTGTCTTCAAACAGGAAAATATGAAAAAATACGTAGATCTGAAAGTATGGCTTTTGTCTTTTGTTCAGTGATAACAGGTAACTTACATCTTAAAGCACCTCTACTGACTTAACTTCTCATTGATATCAATTAAGACGTAGCTGTAAGCTCAGTTCCCCTTGTGTGCAACTGCTCATCTAAGCATCAGGCAATTGGATTTTAGGATATCAAGATATTGGATATTAGGAAAAAAAATCTCAGAAAGTAATGGTAATGCATTGGAACAGGCTGTCCAGGAAAATGGAGTCACTGTCTTGGGATGTTAGGGACACAGTTTAGTGGGCATGATGTTGATGGGTATTTGTGATTTTAAGGAACTTTTCCATAATTCCATGATTCAATTTCAAGTACAAATTCCTTTAATGAGGACATGAAAAAAACATTTTGAATGGCTTGCAGATCAATATTTTCAGCAGAGTTAAATGGTTTCATTGTAATCTTTTTATAATTACTCATCCTATGTTTTTTTATAGACTTTTCTATAATTCACCAAGGAATCCTGAATTAGGTAGTACACACTCATCACTTTTTTTGCCCACAGTGATTCTTTTTAAATAAATCTGCTTTTGAATTTCCTTCTTTACACTGGTTTCTGAGTTGAAATTTATGCCTAGTACTGCTATGTAAGAAAATGCAGTGTAAGAAATATACTTCTATCTTCTGTAAATTTTATCGAGGGATTTTTGTAACAGTAACAATGACTGCAGAAGTTGAATATTTATATTTCTATCATTTCATTAAGTTATGGTTTTAATTTATGTGTATTTTACAAATATCTGATTTAATACACAGCTAAAATTATCTCTCCTTTTTACAGTTCAGACCTCCTTTCTTCTTCATCTTCTCTTTCCAATTCTTTTCTCACCTTCCTTAGTTTGACTTCCTGAATATTTGTAATTATGTGGATTGTAAATTATATATTAAAAGAGTAGAATCTACCTTTCCTAGTATTCTGTGTTTCAGTATGCTTTTATCTTTATCTGCTGGAAGCTTTGCAAATCACAAAAAATTATTTTCTTTAATGTTTAGATATCAAAGATAGGAAGGAATCTTCTTATGCCAGTGTTTTCTTTGTGTATTTTTCCAGCATTGTTATTTTATTATGCTACTTAGGACTGTCAGTATCATTTTTATAGTCCTGTGACAGTCTTGTAAGTCGTATGCTAAGCAGATTTATATTTGCTCCTACTACTTTCTATCACATCTTCATCCTTTTCCATATTTATTTTCAAATAAGCATAGCCTTCTCCCTCTTTCACTCCTTTTTCAGTTTTTGTGGCCTAATATTTTAGCAGCTGTTAGTAGAAGCATGTCTGAACACATTTTTAAAGTGCAGTGGCAAGAAGTACACATAATATATTGCAGTGTGGCATATGATCTTATATCATTGAATGTTACCGTCAGCAAAGATGCATCTTCTTGTCATATATCTTTACAAATGGAGTCAGCGTGGTTTCATTATAAAGGTTTGCTCTCTTCTTCAGCCTATGACAGTTGGTATGGATGGAGCAAGCTGGGGAAAATAGATCAGAAGATTTAAAATATTTTCTTCCAAGCTGCAGAGTTTTGGTGACAACCAGTTAGATAAAGGACAACATGTAGCGGTGCAGTATGAACACAATCCAGTTGCTGTTCAGCATGACCCCCAGAAATATTGAATTTATTTCAAATACCTTGAGCTTTTGAGGTTTAAAGTCAGCCTTCCAGTGGAAAGAAAAGTGATGCACTGAGGCTGTCTGAAAGAATACCGTAAAAGCAAAAAGAAAGCAAATATTTATCCCAATATGCAGATGGTGGGTTTTTCTTTTTTTTTTTTTTCTTTTTTTCCTGTTTGGGTCATGGTTGTAAATAAACCAAAAGGCCAGTCTAAACAGCAGCTCTTATTTTTACTGTGCTAATACTTGATTCATGGTAAATCCAATATGATAAAACATAACTCTTAAGTTCTTATATGATTTTTTCATTATACTAACAGTAGCTATAGAGAAGCCTCATTTTTTCAAGTTTGAAAATTGCATTTTATGAATATTTCTTGCATACTTGAGGGAAAAGACTGATCTTCATGAAATGAAAAACTGTACTTCTAGGATAGTGCATGACATTTTTAAAAATCGTATTGGCTGTGCATACAGTAGTGTCTGTTTTTGAAATGATTTGTTTTTTCCTAATGTGATCATAGCAAACAGTTTTGTTTTGTGTGCCTATCAGCCATTTAGAAAGGATTCCTGTAACTTTTGCTTGCTGTTCTTGATGTTGTAAGACAGGCTTAATCACTTTGGAGTTATTCTCTCTATCAGAATATCCTACATGCTACAAACACTATGTTCAATCCTAAGTTGTATCTTCAAGATGCTACTCTGTTTGAGTCTAAATTGATCACATTTCTGTACATGATTATCCCTTTGACACTGAAAATTAGTTTTGTTCTGCAGTGTTATTTTAAATTTAAAATGTGTTAACCTATCAACAGTTCTACTTTGCATACTGAGACTTATAGTGGTAAATTTTATTGTGATTCCTTCCTTGCCCAGCAAATAATGCAGTCACCTTGCAAAATATAGTTTAATGCTGTCAATTACTGAATGTCTGTAAGCAGGTTGTTTGGATTTGTTGATTAAGGAGTGCCTGACTTTCCTCTCACACACCACAATAGCAAAATGCTGTGGAGTGTACATGGAGAAACTGGTGACTGTGATCACTGAAGTTTAGCTTCACTCTGACAAACTATTGGTTTGAAGCTCTCCAAGTTCTTGCAGTTCTTTCTGAAGGGAGCTTATTAAATGTGTTCTGTAGCCCAATTAACATATGGTGTTTTATAATATTAGTTTTTATTTATATATTTTCTCAACTCAAGGTCAGTGGGAGTTTGTCATAATAGCTAATGTTAACTTTTTCCATTTGAAATTGATATAGCTAATTCCAATATTGACAGTGTGAGATGAATGGATAGTCAGTGGGACTCTTTGATCACAACTTTACAGTAAGAAACAGGAAAATACACTTAAAAACAAGTTAGCTTGTAATGGAGTCAATTCATGAAATGCTGGACACAAGTGTTAGTACTCCAGGCTCTTTTGGTTGGATGTGCCTAACTATTTTACTTAGCATTAAATAAATGCATTCAAATGACTTAGGGATCAAGTGATTCATCACTGTAAATGTTGGCATTGAACGTGAGAAATGCTTAAAGACAGGGTGCTATTTAGCTCTATATTCTTTCTGTTGTAAAAACCAAAGGGAACAAAGTGTCCAAACAGAGAGAAGGTCAGTATAAAATATTCTGAAGTAGAATTGGCACCTGAGTCTTAAAATCTTTATAATTTTCATCTATTCAGCTAGCTAGCTAAATATAGATGCATAATTCTTACAGTAGTTTCAAAATCTGTTTGTGTACATCCTTGAAAAGTTCTGTATTCTGCTTAAAATACCTTAAGCCATTGTTTTCATCCATTCAAATGAATTATTTTCGTATCATATAAACAAATTATCTTTAAAGTGTTACAGTGTTTACCATTGCCATAGTAGTTTTTAAAAACAAGAATAATTGTAAAAAATCTGTATAGTACTAAGTAACTCATTGTACAAGAACCAAATTACTGAGGCGTGAAGAACCTCTAGAGGTCATTATTAGGGATTATGGACTACTTTGGCAAGCAACAGGCCAGCAGCATACTTGATTACTTGTCAGAACGGTCTGTAATCCCAATTAAGGTCCTCTCTTGAGAGCTTGCTGATACACATCAGGGTTGTGGCCAAAGTTCTGCAGATGCTTGAAATTCTCTCTGTTTTGTCTGTTGCATCTTTTACTTTGTGACTTCAATTAAATATCTCTGATGATTCTGAAAGCAGTTAAAATTGAGCTAGAGAAGAAAAAACAGCCTTTTGAAGTACATGCATTGAGCCAATTTTTTTCACAAGCAAGTTTTTAATCACATTGTTTTTCCTTTGGGCTTGTGGACTTAGATTTGTTAGCATCCATTCACCATAGACTTAGTTTTATTTAAAAGAATACTTCCACTATTTTTCTTTTTTTTTCTGTTTGTTTTTCCTTCTAAATTTTCATTAGACAACAGGCCATACAGAGACGTTGATCCCTTAAAAAATTAGCAGGTATGAGTGCAGTTTCCAAATGTGCATATGGACTTCATGGCTCCTGAATTTCTTTGATACATTTTAAAATTTTACCATTTAACTATTACTCCAGGAATGTAATTATCTACTTCAGATTATGTGTATGGTTAAATGTTTACTGACCCTTGTAACTGTAGGATTTATATGCTGTTCAATGCTCTTGTAACAAAGTTTTAACTCAGGGCATTTTCTAACAAATACCCAGAAGAGAATGTTTGGACCTTTCCTCCAGACTTCTGATCTAATCCATTCTGGAATGAATGAGGCTTTTACCATGCTTGTCAGACTCCTGTGGATATATTTGATCTTTGTCAACATTAACTAAAGTAAATCTACTGAATGGAAAAAATCTCTATTAATCAAACCTGTAGCATTGCGTGGAACTTACAGCTATCAAAGTTTGCTTTCTGTTATGTAGGCTGTGTGTGTTTAAAGCTGTATTTAATAGACATCTCTTGGACTTCATTCAGAATTCACTGAAGTCTAATGGGTTTTGGATCATGTCCTTTGCGCACATTTCTTAATTGCTAGTGTGTCTGTTAGCAAAATGTTCTCATTTCCATGATATCAAAAGCAAGTGTTTTATAGGAAGAAGTGTATGAAATCAAATTCCTGTCCTCTCACTGATTGGTAAAATGAATGCAGGTTAATACTATTGTTCTTTTTTTGTTTAAAGCTGAAAATAGAAAAATCTTAAATGAGGAAAATGTTGAGAACTGTCTCATAAATCTTTTGGAAATTGATGATGATGGAGTTAAAGTTGCTGCTTCCCAAGCTATTTCTGCCATGTGTGAGAATTTGGCTAGCAAACGTGCGTTTGGACTCCAGGGTAAGTAAGGTGGGAAATGAGAATCTGTGGTTTTCCTTCTGTAAGGAACGTAATTTTGTAGATGATCTTGTTGGATTGTCATGGTTTACTTAAATGTTCATATATACAATTGTTTATTTTTAAGGGATTCCCCAGCTAGTGCAGTTGCTAAGCAGTGATGATGAAGAGGTAAAAGAAGCTGCAGTCATAGCATTAGCCAATTTGACAACAGCCAGTCCTAGTAATGCAAGGTGAGTCTGCAGCAACCAAATCATTATTTAAAAGACTAATCTGAATGCAAATGATAATGTTTGGATTTTTAATGAACGTCTCATCTTGTCCTTATCCTACAAAGCAGGACTCTTGAATTAGCCTGTAAGGCCTTCTGTGGTGCTCATGAGTCATCTGGAATTGGTTGGTTCTCATCAGGTTTACAAATGTTATGCTATCCTTGCTAATGTTTGCTCTATCACAGAGAGGTATGAAGCAGATGGAATGAAAGCAGAGGTATAGGTCATGTTTTGGAAACAACATATGACAAAAATATGCCTCATAATCTAAGAAATTTAATGTGGGGTATTTTTTTCAAAATTCACTCTCAGTAAGTTATCTTTTAAAATGTGATTGCTCAAGCAGTTTTTTTTACTGATTTGTGACAGTTGACACTCAGATATTCTAATATTGGCACTGTCATTCTCTTTTCTATTGCTTCCCAAGTTATAAAGAATGCTCATAGTGCATTCTCTAGAAGAAGTGTACTGTCAGTATCTAAAGTAATTAACAACGGTTGGTTAGTTGACTGTAAGTTCCAACATAATTGTACCAACTAAATTCTACTGTCAGTTGCAGAGTTGTGTTATCCCAACTCTATTAAAATTTCTGTTCAAGGAAAAGAAACAGAGCAGTCTGACATATATGAGCAATCACATGTAACCAACAAACCATAAAATAAAATTCCTTAAAAGTTTCCTGGAATATACTCAAGGAAGTTGTAATCCATTCACAACCATTCTTTGAAGTGAAAAAGTAAAATAATGCACCAAATAAATTATTTGTTTCAATTTATTGATTCAGCTCTAATAGTCACCAGTATTCACTTAATGTTGCCAGATGAAGTTGTAATTTGACACAAGGGAATAATATTCTGTTTTCAGATTCACATAGTAGATTTTTTTTGGTCTGATTTTCTGCTCTCCTCATGTGCATGGCTTCACTTGGTGTCAGTGGGAGTCATACACACATAAAAAGAGCACAGAACTGGAGTCCAGGGGTCAAGCTCTCAGCTCTGCTACAGCTGTTTTTCGTAGTGCAACCCTTTGAGGTTTCACATTGTGAAAAAGGAATCTCTGGAGAGTTTTGAGTTGGTATAACAGCTTTTGCCAACTTGGTCAATGTCTTTTGCCAAGGAGATAGTCATGACATTGTTTAGCTCAACTGCTAGAACAATTCTCTGAGACTTCAGGCAGGGAAGTAGCTGTCTCTGTTCCTCTGAATTATAACTGGGGCTGTTTTTTTTTTCCTGCTGGGCAGTCAGGAAATTGTAAAGGTGGCTTGCATATACTTCTCTCTCCTTGCTATCCAGCTCCAACTACAATATGGAAGTACCAGATAATCTAATCACAGGTCTTCTGTGAAAATCAGGAAGCAATAATTTACATTAAATATGTATATTGGATGAATGCCATGTGACTATATAATTACTTCAAAGCTTCTTTTCTAAATCAAAACCATTAATAAGTCATAGATGGCTCCAAGTGCGACTGGGATCTACAAATGAATATATAGAATTGAACCCTCAGCTGACAGGAGTTGGTATAGTTCCAGCTCACTGACCGACTGCCTGGCCCATACTTATTCTACATCCACATAACTGAGGAAAAAAAAGTAGTTTGGAAAAAATGCATTGCAGATTGGGTTACCGTACTCATATTATTCATTCCAGAATATTTTGTATGTCTATCTTGTAAATCACTGAAAATAAGTGTATATATAATGAAGATGCTGATATACTTTTAAATGATGTGACCTTGGTGTATAATTATGTTGACAGTATTCAGGTCCCAAATTGGACTAATGAGACTAGTGCTCTTTTATTGGCTGTGTATTAGATTCTTGTTAAAAACCTTCAAAGAACATTAAATCATAAAGCTAGTAGTATCAGGAAGACCTTGCAGGGAAAGCACAAGAAAATGGCTGCAGCAGAAGAGAAAACTATTTACTATAAATGTGTTTTCACTGTCTACCATCCAGCCAGATCACAAAATTTGTTCTTGTTGAACATACATACTTGTGTTCTGCTGTATTTATTTTTATGACTGTTATGTTGATTGAAGGATGTGTACCTTGCTCATTCATTGTGTACAGTATATATTAAGAGAATGCAAATAGTAGACAAAACACTTTTTTTTTTTCTGGAGAATCGTTGTTTTTAGGAATATTTGATGAAGAAAAGTTACTTTCCTTATAATATGGGAGAAAATACAAGTTAAAACAATATGTGTTACTTGAGGCTCCAACAATAGCTGTCTTATTAGGAGAGTCTTCCATTGATTAATAACAGAAGAGCAGCATAGGCAATGGGCAATACTGCTCCCCACTAATATGTATTAACCTTGACCTCTAGGTGCTTCCCCACAGCAATGAAAGGCTAGTTCTGCACTCCTGCCCAATCAATCCTTTCTTTCTCAACTGAGACAGCTAATAAAGGTGTCAAATATGGTAGAGCTTTTGTAATTAGAACACCTCTTCACAATGTATGGGACAGAGACTATGTTGTCATCTTATGTCAGTCCCCAAGCAACTGTTATTTGGCAAAAATAAATAAACTGATCAATGACACCAGCCCACGTAGTATTTTAACAAAAGGTCTAGAGCAGAAGAGTCCAATACTAACAATTTTACTGGAGAACGTGGATTTTCAGGATGATCTCCACTAGAATACATAAAAATTACTGTAACTTCTAGTGTATTCCATTGTTCAACCTTCTGCTGCATACCTGATGTGTCATGCTTCAGTAGCACATTAAAAAAAATAGTCAAATGCCTCATTAATTCAAAAACTGATATCCTCAGATTATAATTTTATTAGAATTTTATCATAAAGTAGGATGGAATTTTAGTTGTTCTGTATATTCATTATAAGGTCTTTGTGAAACAGAAAACACTTGGCAAATAAAAATAAAATTTCAAAGATTTGAAGCACTCTGCAGTTTAGAATCTCATGTATTTATTCTAGCATATGGTAGGAAAAAAAAGAAAAAGAAAAAAGGCCTGGGATTGTTACTGTGTGCATTGCTCCAAGACCACACTTGTGATATATGCCAGAATTGGTTTCTGTTTCCCTGCTTCTGGGGAGAAAAAAAATTATGTTCAAATATTTGCATCCATTTAAAATTTTGAAATCCAGTACACTAACTTGCATTGTTGAAAGCCATATACAGTTATATGGATGGCTGAATGCCATTTTATAGAATCCACGAAATCTGTCCTTTTCTGATATGTCCAGGCATCAGGAAATGTAGGTACAGTCACTTCAATGATGTTCATTATGCTCGGATTGAAGAATCACGTACAAATGAAGAAGCAGCAGTGCCATCTATTGGACAGAAACACGAGTCATTCTGTGTTACACAAACCCTGCCTTCAGAACAAACGTTTTACTTTCTCTTCTGCCGACATTTTCCTGTTTGAAGTATAGCCGATTATTTTTACTCTTTACGTATTTATGGTAAGCTAATCATGTTAAATGTAGATCTGACATCCGTTAGAAGTAACAAATAGAAATAAGGTATGGAATGTACCAGTTAGCTATTAGTTAACTTGACCGGCCATTTCCTTCAGTATTGTCTTAGCACAAATGCCATTTCTAATAGCTGCCTTCATAAATCTGGCGCTGTCAGAATGCTGGTTATCTGCTAGAATTACCGCTAAAGGAAAACATCTACTCTGAAATTTGCTGCTTTGTACTAACTAACTAACAGCCTCCATAATATTTGTCTAAAATTGTTTATTTTAAGTGCAAAATTTATAGCATTCAGTTAGTTTGGTCTGGGGGCAGAAAGGAAAGTATGGATTTTCTTTGTCTGTACTAAAAACTGCAGGAAATTGTGGTACCCTTTGGACTGACAATCTGGCAAAATATTTCTCCTGGGGTTTGTAATTTGTGTCATGCCACACATTTCTTAGCATCCTATCCGGACTCAAGATAGTAAATCAGCAAAGCTTGATGTTACGTGATTTTCTAATTCTTGAATTCTTCAGAGGAATCTCTGGACCTATTTATATCAAGAAAACTACATTCACATAGGCAGCTATAGGTATTATTACAGAATCTGGATATGTGCTTTGTGATATGCATGAAGATTTCCGTGATTTGTGAGTAGATTGAGAACAGGAAGCTAGGCTGGGAAATCATGGCTTATAGGCAGCGCCCAGTGAGGAGAAAATGTGTTTCTCCTTTGACTTAAACCAATGTTGCATCTATTCCAACTGTAACTCGTTCTCATCTAATGATTCAAAATATGTCCTTAGTCCTCTGTGTGGATAGTGCTCACCTGTAGTGAGAGTCTCTCATCTTCTTAAGAAGAGATTTTCATTATCCACAGGAGGTTTTATTATTTTTTAGAAGAGTTTGGCTGTCAAGGAACAGATTGAAAGACTGTCTGATTTTTTTTTTTTTATGTTTCAGATCTTGTTATTATCATTAAGAAGTAATGATTATTGGCATTAGGTATTAATATCATTAGATAGCAATCTGTCCTATTAGCAAATGGAAAAGAGTCATAAATTTTCTCTTTCAAGACTGTCAGTGGAACCTAATTCCCATAAACAGATGAAAATTGAAGAGCCAGAATTCCCTGAGATAATTTATTTACATGAATGCATGTGTTAATTTCTGAGAATCGATACGAAAATAATCGTAGTATATGAATGCTAAATTTAAAAACAGATGCGGGTAATAATCCGCAGTACAGCTTTTGTATTTTCATTGTTTAACATAAGTTTGGAAGGAGGAAATCAACAATGGAATTCCACTAGCTGTATTGAATAAAGGTAATATGTTTTAACACTGACCCCTAGTGACAAAATTATATTTTTGAGATACAGCTCAGCCATGAAAAGGAGAGTTTTGTGATTTGTGTTTCTATTTTTCACATTAGTGCCTGTTCTGCTGAGCTCTGTACAAATACAACCAGCTAACTCATGCCATGAATAAATTCCTGTTTTGACGTTCTCTTGCTGTATATCTGTA